CGTCCACTGACTGGATGATTTTAGACCCAGGGCTCCAGACTAACTTCACTGTAACTTGCTAACTTGCTAGCGCTGTAGCCTATAACTGAACATTTTTTAGGAGCATTATTTGTAGTGTAAGAGCGCAGGGCTTCTGTGTTGTACGTCACACGCAGGCTCACTATTGGCCGGCGCTGGTCATGTGTGTGTGTGTGTGTGTGTGTGACCCAGAAGCGCTGCGCTGTTACATATGTGAACTCACTCGAGGCCCACAGAGAAGAACATGAAGAGTTGAATAAAGTCGTTATTTTTGTTTGTTTTTTGCGCACAGAAAGTATTCTCGTCGCTTGATAAACTTAAGGTTGAGCCACTGTAGTCACTCGGACTATTTTAACGATGTCTTTAATAACTTTTCAATCCCGTGGAAGCCTATGGAGGAGTGATCCAGCTCTCAGATTTAATCAGAAATATCTTAATTTGTGTTTCGAAGATGAACGAAAGTCTTACGGGGTTGAACAACATGAGGGAGAGTAATTACTGACAGAGTTTACATTTTGGGGTGAACTATCCCTTTAATATTAATTCAAAATCAAAACAAGTGAAAATATATATATTAGGGAGTGAAAATAGCCAATCGTCCTCTGCAGCCACCTACTGGTTACAATGGTAATTTAATATATATATATATTTTTTTTAAATAAGTGTGACTTTTAGTTATATAAATGGGGACAATCTTTGAAGGATGAACACTTTTTTTGGTCATCACATTAAAAATAACCTTTAAATATGATATTATATAGTGCATTTGACTATTTCTGCCACAATACCATAGTTACAGTGAGTGTTACTACATTAAATCCATGGTGAATGTTGCTGATCTGTGGACTTAAAGCCTTCTATAACTTGTTGATTCATGAACAAGTCAGCGCTGTTTGATCTGATGTGTCTATGCTTGTGATTGGACGGTTGTGGTTTGCTATTGGCTGAGCTCATGTGAGTGACAGGTTATAGCCCCGCCCTCGTCATCAGAGAAGAGATGCTGCAAGAGGAACTGATTCTGATTCAAGATTACCAGGAACATGAAGTTAAAGATGTTTAGATATTACTTTACTGGAAAACATGACAAAGATGCTCATTAAGAATATGCCGTGTATTTACAGTGTTTCTCCATTCAGTCTTTGCTGATAAACCCAGACTTACTGAGACAAAGACAAAGCCTGGACTGCCGTCACCATCGGCTTGACGTCTAAACATGTCATTTCCTGTTGTCCTTATTGAAGCTTCCTGTATTTCCTTCCACTCTGTCCTTAGGAAAAAAGCAGAAAGTGTGTTTACCTGAGTCACTAAAGACACACATTGCAGTAGTGTTTCTGAAAGAGTCTCTTCTGCTCGCCAACTAAAATACAGTAAAAATTGTGATATATTTTTACAATTTAAAACATGAAAAATTACTGATTATTATCAATGTTGAACAGTCATATTTTTGTGGAAACTGTGACATTTTATTTAAAGTTCAAATGAACAGTATTTATTTGAAATATAATCTTTTGTAACTATACATTTAATGCTTCCCTGCTGAATACAATTATTTATATATATATATAACTTTTTAATGTAATCGAAGGAAATAACAGCTATTATTGGAGGAGAACATTGGGATACATAGAAAATGTTCAGTCCAGGAAACACAAGAAATAAAATCAGTTAATCAAATAAATAAATGACAGTTTTGTTGATTATCAACATATTGCTTTGTTCTACTCTAAACTCTAAATCTGAGCCTTTATGTAAAACCGCTGCTTGTTATAAATACGTAATATGATTTAAAGCTCCATTCTCCTCATTCTTGATCCTTTTAGATGTCATTTTGTGCATCTAAAGCGCTTAAAGCCATTGTGTAGATTCTAGGGATGCATGATATATCTGCCACCATATCGGTATCGGCCGATATATGTTAATTTTTAAATGTTATCGGCCTGATAAGAACATTTGGCCGATATATGTTAATTTTTTTATGTTATCGGCCTGATAAGAACATTTGGCCGATATATGTTAATTTTTTAATGTTATCGGCCTGATAAGAACATTTGGCCGATATATGTTAATTTTTTTATGTTATCGGCCTGATAAGAACATTTGGCCAATATATGTTAATTTTTAAATGTTATCGGCCTGATAAGAACATTTGGCCGATATATGTTAATTTTTTTATGTTATCGGCCTGATAAGAACATTTGGCCGATATATGTTAATTTATTTATGTTATCGGCCTGATAAGAACATTTGGCCGATATATGTTAATTTTTTAATGTTATCGGCCTGATAAGAACATTTGGCCGATATATGTAAAATTTTTTATGTTATCGGCCTGATAAGAACATTTGGCCGATATATGTTCATTTTTTTATGTTATCGGCCTGATAAGAACATTTGGCCGATATTTGTTAATTTTTTAACGTTATCGGCCTGATAAGAACATTTGGCCGATATATGTTAATTTTTTTATGTTATCGGCCTGATAAGAACATTTGGCCGATATATGTTCATTTTTTTATGTTATCGGCCTGATAAGAACATTTGGCCGATATATGTTAATTTTTTAATGTTATCGGCCTGATAAGAACATTTGGCCGATATATGTTAATTTTTTAATGTTATCGGCCTGATAAGAACATTTGGCCGATATATGTTCATTTTTTTATGTTATCGGCCTGATAAGAACATTTGGCCGATATATGTTCATTTTTAAATGTTATCGGCCTGATAAGAACATTTGGCCGATATATGTTAGTTTTTTAATGTTATCGGCCTGATAAGAACATTTGGCCGATATATGTTAATTTTTTAATGTTATCGGCCTGATAAGAACATTTGACCGATATATGTTCATTTTTTTTATGTTATCGGCCTGATAAGAACATTTGGCCGATATTTGTTAATTTTTTTATGTTATCGGCCTGAAAAGAACATTTGGCCGATATATATGTTCATTTTTTAATGTTATCGGCCTGATAAGAACATTTGGCCGATATATGTTCATTTTTTTATGTTATCGGCCTGATAAGAACATTTGGCCGATATATGTTAATTTTTTAATGTTATCGGCCTGATAAGAACATTTGGCCGATATATGTTAATTTTTTAATGTTATCGGCCTGATAAGAACATTTGGCCGATATATGTTCATTTTTTTATGTTATCGGCCTGATAAGAACATTTGGCCGATATATGTTCATTTTTAAATGTTATCGGCCTGATAAGAACATTTGGCCGATATATGTTAGTTTTTTAATGTTATCGGCCTGATAAGAACATTTGGCCGATATATGTTAATTTTTTAATGTTATCGGCCTGATAAGAACATTTGACCGATATATGTTCATTTTTTTTATGTTATCGGCCTGATAAGAACATTTGGCCGATATTTGTTAATTTTTTAATGTTATCGGCCTGATAAGAACATTTGGCCGATATATGTTAATTTTTTAATGTTATCGGCCTGAAAAGAACATTTGGCCGATATATATGTTCATTTTTAAATGTTATCGGCCTGATAAGAACATTTGGCCGATATATGTTCATTTTTTTATGTTATCCGCCTGATAAGAACATTTGGCCGATATAAGTTAATTTTTTTATGTTATCGGCCTGATAAGAACATTTGGCCGATATATGCTAATTTTTTTGTTATCGACCTGATAAGAACATTTGGCCGATATATGTTAATTTTTTAATGTTATCGGCCTGATAAGAACATTTGGCCGATATATTAAAGCCGATATATAAATGAGTATTATTTCCTTCAGCTGAGACCTTTCAGATGCGCAATGTTCAACATAATGGTTTTGAATTGCTTGAAATTTAATTGGAATCACTCAAAAAAGGAAAATAGAGTTCAGTGCAACATACAAAGCTAAGTGCAAAGCTACATAAAATTATAAAGAGATCGTTATAATTGTGTACTTGGGAAATGGATTTTACTTGGAGACTTTAGTTTTTGTAATCAGGCTCTCAAAAATAATAAAAAAATTTGGATTTAGATTTATCGGCCAATATATCGGTTATCGGCTGTCAAATATGAAGAATTATCGGTTATCGGAATCGGCTATTTTTTATATTGGTGCATCCCTATAGATTTCCATTTTACTCTGCTAATGCTGGATCTGATCACACTTTCACACAATGATCTGATGTTCACTACGAGATGTTTTCTTTAGCAATGTTGTATGTGCCATTCATCCTTTTGCTATTAAATCTATTTAAAAAAAAGTTTAAATTGCTTTGGCATATTTCTCTCAAGTCGTTCCACATCACATTATTAATCAGAGAACAATAATCATTTACAGGAATCAAAATCATCAAATTCCTCATGTTTTCTGTCGAATTAAGTCATCAATGAAGAGAAAACAAGTGTTTTAGCATCTCTGGGTCACAATATTTAGGCCCGAAATGTTCGATTTATGCATATAAAATTCATGCATTTGGATTCCACAGTTTTAACATTACATAAATGACATGTGGTGCATATTTGTCAGTGAAACGTGAAGGTTTCTGAACTCAAAAAACCATTTGCATCTGTTTGATTTTATTTAAATGATCATATTTTCAAAATTCATTGAGCCATTTCATTAATGCACGACAAATATGCACCACATGTCATTTTTGCAACTTATTTATGTTAAAACTGGGAAATCCAAATGCATGAAAATTAATTTTATATGCAAAAATCTCACATTTAGGCCCTAAATAACATGACCCAGAGACACAGTAGATGCTAAAACACTTGTTTTCACTTCATTGATGACTTAATTCGACAGAAAACATGAGGAATTTGATGATTTTGATTTGTTAGGGTTAGCGTTATATGCAATTCAGATGAATTTGGGTGTCAGTATTTTAGATGTGACCCGTGTCCTCCAGAGGAAGCACATGGTTTATTCTGGAGGAGATTTATGAGCTGCTGGCAGGATATTCTTCCCCAGGGCCGCAGATGATTTCAATAACTCTTTTATTCTTGTTAGACTCCAGTGTGATCTGTGAGCTGAAGGATGTTCCCGGAAACAGCAATGATTGGATCGTCCTGAAGGAAACGCCTCTGGGATGCTGGACGGATTTTACCACCCGGGGCGACGAGAGAGAAGTCCACATCCTAAACCTGCTGTACACACACGTGAGTCGCTTTCATTCATAAATCCAGTACAAACCAGCCGCTGGAAAGACCAGCTCAGACCAGTATGAAGTGGTTCAGACTGGTTTAGTGTTGGCAGACCAGAGACTCACTTTAGCATTGTTCGAGTACTTAATACAGAAATAATATACTTAAGTGTGAACTGAAAATGTACTATAGTTTAGTTTTATATTATATGCAATTAGTTGAACTTAAGAGTGTTTTTGAGCCACTTAAATATGACTTAAGCACATTTTATATGTAATACTGCTGAATATACTGACAGGCATTTATGCTGTAAATGCGTTTTTAATTGCACATTTGCATGATGAAATTGCAGATAAGTACATTTAAAATATATTAACTTTAATATCAGTACAGTTAAAATTATAATCAAGTACTTTTAATCTGCTTTGGTATGTTAGTCAACACGTCAAAGTAAGTGCACTTCTTTAAAAGGTTATTAAAACATAATGACATAATGACTTTTTAAAAGTGTACTTAAGTGTGTTAAGAAGTGTTAAAGTCCCCCTGTAGTCAATAATTAATTGTATCCCTTAAAACTCATCTTTGATCACCAAAATTACATATTTAAGCGTTTTTTCCATGAAAAAAAGAAGAATGTAACTCGACACCCTCGCCTCATTTAGTATGTGCGGTTCTGTGAATATGCAAATGAGCCCCGCCTCCACTCACTCACTCAGCTCAGAGATCCACTGGTTGACGATCACACGTTGATCTGATTGGTTACAAGGTCGTTTGTGACGTCAGAAACACCAGCGATTTCAAACCGTGTTTTTGAGACTGTCTTTGGTTCACTGCAGTTTTAAGGAGGAAATACTCAGCAATGCTGTCGACTTATGAACTTACACATGGTGTGTCTTAAAGCGTATTAAAAACACCACATAGACACATAAACAACATTAAAATGTTGATTTTCACCACAGGGTTTGATTTTTCGTACACGAGCGGATCTCTGAGCTGAGTGAGTGAGTGGAGGCGGGGCTAATTAGCATATTCATAGAACCGCGCATACTAAATGAGGAAAGGGTGTCAAGTTACATTCAAGATTTTTAAAGGCGTGAAGAACTTTTTGTCAAGGAAAAGGCGTTTAAATATGTAATTTTGGTGATCAAAGATGAGTTTATCAGGGTTAAAATGATTGTCTACAGGGGGACTTTAACTCTACCAGAACAGCCCAGCACAATGAATAGCAGATTTCCCATGTTGAAACGTCTTGTATGAGCAGAAACGTCACTAACACTGGTTTCTCCACGTGGGGTTGAGAAAGACCAACACAGAGCATTAGTGAGCATCTCCCATGATGCAACACTCAACGCAGGAGGCTTTTGTGTGTCGGCGTCATCTTTCATGTGTGTGTTTGCTCTTTAAATACACTCATCATGTCGATTATATGATTAATAATCAGCATCTGTCAGCTGGAGAGTAAATGCCTTCACTGAAAGGGTTTCAGGATGATTCACGGTTTGTTTCTTCATCTGTGCTATATGAGTGAATTGATTATAATAATAATTTCAACACAAAGCTGTGGAAAAGTCCTGTCCGTTATCTTCTGGAGTGAATTAAAAAGTTGAGTTGACACATGGTTTGGAGGAAAAAAGGAGAAACATATTTTCTATTCTGCAATCCTGATTGCAGAAACAACTCATTTGTGTGCAGTTTTATTTCTCATGAGGAGTTTTGTGATGGAAAACGGGTTTGTTCAAACACACTTCTTCAAACCAGCAAGAGCTCAAATATAAGTGCACTTAATTGTCCTGAATGCGCACTTCAAATCTTCAAAGCATATTTTAAAAAAACTGTACTTGCAGATCATATAATATTAATGAAATAAAAGGCCACTTTACTGTACTTAAAGATAGTTTACTTTCACAACTGTGATTCTTAACACACTTAAGTACACTTAACAGTACACAGTTTTTCTTTAAAGTACATTATAAATCATTAGGTGAACTATTATGTCCCTTTTTACAATATGTAATATAAGTCTCAGGTGTCCCAGGAATAAGTCTGTGAAGTTTCAGCTCGAAATACCCCACAGATAATTTATTATAAGTTTATACCCCACTTATCATTTATTATATATTTTGAGTGGAAGAAAAACAACATGCTGTTTTCGTGCATGTATCTTTAAATGCAAATGAGCTGCTAGGTCCCCGCCCCCTTTCCAGAAGAGGGCGGAGCCTGTTCAGCTCGTGTCTCAGATACTCTGCCAAAAAGGACAAAATTTGTCTGGTTTTTGATTATCATCTCTATCGCGGCCCGGCTCACGTCACATTGCAGTTCTTCATCATCATGAAAGTGTATTTTCTGCATGCGTTTTAAAGCCATTTCAGTCTAAACTTCTGATATATGGTTTTCTGAGCGCACACACCCGAATCACGCGCACACACCCGAATCACGCGCACAGAAAGCTGGATGTCAGACGGACATTATTAAACTAAATGTTAGCAGATTCCTGAACGGCTCATTTTGAGACACTGTTTCAGATTAATGGAGAAGACAACAAACAGGGTGGTTGTGTTCACACACCGCGGACACATAATTATGTTAAAAAACAATATGCAATATGAATTTTGCATGATAGATCCCCTTTAACAATCATTTGTTGTGCTTTAAAGAAGTGTGCTTGTTTTGATCTGTTGACTAAAGCACATATAAAGCACTTAATTAATTTGAACTTTAGTGTGTTATTCCATATTGTTATTCAATAAACATGTGTAAATATACATTTTTTTAATACATACAAGTTTCAATATAAATTAAGTTAAAGTGTACTTCTTTTTCACAATTTCACAAGTCCAGGCAGATGCATTTCATCAAAACTGTTTCATTCTCAAACCTTCCTCACAGAAATGTCATTTTTTATGTAAATTATCCTATTACAGTAATGCATTGGAGGAAGCCACCACACCACACCACACCACACACACACACACATACACACACACACACAGTGTAAGCTGGAGCCGACCCGGTCGAGGGGAGACGAACACACACACACACACACACACACACACACACACACACACACAGTGTAAGCTGGAGCCGAACCGGACGAGGGGAGACGAACACACACACACACACACACACACACACACACACACACACACACACACACACACACACACACACACACACACACACACACACACACACACACACACACACACACACACACACACACACAGTGTAAGCTGGAGCCGACCCGGTTGAGGGGAGACGAACACACACACACACACACACACACACACACACACACACAAACTTACTTGTAAGTAAGTTGTGAGTGGGCGTAGCTTTAGCTTCAGTGATGTCACTGTCTGGAGCGCTGGAGCCGAGGGGATACGAATACACACACACACACACACACACTGTGAGCCGACCCGGTCGAGGGAGAGACGAAGAATAACCGGAAACTGTTATGCATCAGCAAAGCCCTGAAAAAAAAGTGCTCTGGAGAAAAAAAATGCGCAAAAGGAAAACAATTGTATCTTGAAAGCACAGGAACAAAAATAGCCAGGGCGAGTGATCAGACATTGTGTGACCCGAGCGGAGTGAGGCGGACAGCGATGGATTATGGGAGGCCTGTGTGTGTGTGTGTGTAAACACCATTGAGGATTGCTGCAAATTATTAACATGGCTGATTGTTTCCTTCAGCACGCAGTGTCCATATTAAATATAGAAGCTCGTTCGGAAATCAAGCTCAAGCGTTTGCTATGAAAGTACAACAGAACAGATTGAAATTGTTGATCCAAAGGTGAAGAGTTGTAAAATGTATATGTATTTTCCTGCATTTAATACATTTATAAGAGAAAACTACAAATATTGGAAATATACTGTACAGTACACTACCATTAATTTGTTTTTTAATTGATCAAATTGATCAAAAGTGACATTTATAATGTTACAAAAGATTCTTTTTCAAATAAATGCTGTTTTTTAAACTTTCTATTCATCAAATAATCGAAATATTAAGTTTCCACAATAATATTAATTTTGATTATAATAATCATAAATGTTTCTTGATCATCAGATCCTCATATTAGAGTGATTTCTGAAGGATCATGTGACACTGAAGACTGGAGTAATGATGCTGAAAATTCAGGAATAAATTACACTTTACTATATATTCACATAGAAAACAGCGGATTTACATTGGAATAATATTTCACTGTTTTTACTGATCAAATAAACATTAAATATCTTACAGATCCAAAACTCTATCAACAAAAGTAATCTAATAATATAGGGAACTATAATAATAATAATAACTATATGATTATATTTCTCTTTAAAATAATAATACAAATAATTATTATATTCATCATTATATTACAATCATTTTAAGGATACATATAATATTTATATTTCTCTTTAAAATAATAATATTTATTATTATTTACAATGTTCAATAGTGTATTTGGTATATGGGTAAATTCTGTAAAAAATATATATATTTTAAAAAATCTATATTTTAGTTATTATAACGGTTTTTCTATATTTTCTAGCTATAATCTATTAATACTGAGAGCGATCTCATTGGTGGCTCGTCCCCTCAGAGGAAATGAAAGCCAATAACAGTCACGGATTCCTTTGTATTTGCTTTCCTTGTGTTCATGGACGGTGAGACTAATTAATGTTCATCAATATCACACACACACACACACACACACACACTGTTTGCCCCTGCTCTGCTGCTTCAGGATCTGATCGCTCAGATGATTGACAGGTCAACGGTGCAAAACTGTTGCTAAACTAAAACTATCCTCTAGAGAAATTTTGTGTTCACTCAAATAACATTTGCGTACTTTTCCAAAATAATAATAATACGTTTTATTTATAAAGCGCCTTTTCCAAGCTCAAAGTTGCTGTACAGATAAATAATAAAGTAAACATGGCATCAACAAAATATAGACTTATATGCATGCATATATACATACAAATACATATGCATAGTACATACACACACATAGTCAAAT